GCTGTAATGACCCCTAAAAATGAATAAGTAGTACGCATGGCTATTAATATTAGTATGCATGGCTGTAGAATTGTGCAGTCATGCAATGCAACCAAAAAAGTATGACTTCACATCGGGCTGCAGGTCAGGAGATGGTCGTGCTGTAATCCGGTCTTCTGTCAGGGAGTTCCTGTGCAGTGAAGCGATGCATTTCCTGGGTGTTCCCACCAGCAGGGCTGCCAGGTGAGAATAAATGATTTTGAGAGCTATAAGTTTGGTATAAGATTACAAACTTAGCACAAAAAGTAAAGAAATGTGTTTGGTTGATGATAATTATTTGTTTTTACCATGATTCTATGTAGTAATAATAATTTGCTTAATCAGACATTTACAAGCAATCAAACATTCTTGGTACCTCTGATTCAGATTCAGTAGCAAAGACAGATGTTTGGCTTCCAAGTGCTTCTTTACCTGATTTGGCACTGTATTATCATTAATTAACTCCCAGCAAGTGATTGATTCGGGCTAAAGGCTGTTGACATCCCTGTTTAGCCGAAACCATAAAACGTGTAGCTTTTGCAGTAATTTTTCTGGCATTGGACTTTGTGTTTTTATCCACACAAGGCAATGATCAGGTTTACCTACTACAAATTTTACCCTAATAACTGTCAATCAGGACTTTTGATGTGCAGAAATGTGTTATCAATTTATATTTCATTCATTCACATAAAATTAGTTCAAGTCATTTGAGCTTGACTCATATGACGAGAACATTTTTTTGGCATTTGCAAAAAAAGAGACGTTTTTAAAGAAATTATAACCCAGAAATTGTGTGAATCGTGTGATTTTTGTCGCCATTTAATTGTTATGTGTTTTAGATTTATCCGCTAATTCTTTTTTTAGTCTGATTGTCAGTGAGGAGCCAGTGTTGAGGGATCAGTTCTACAATGGAAATGTGAAAGCAGAGAGAGGTACAGGATTTACCCATGACTGGAGCCTTTTATTTCAAACTGCATTACTTTTTAACAATCCAGCATAATTTTTGTTACTGTTATGCAGATGTTTTGTCTGCTGCCTTAATCTTTGTTCTGGTTCAGCTTTTCTTTATTCCCCACAGGAGCTGTTGTTCTGCGATTGGCCAAGTCATGGTTTCGGATTGGATCCTTAGAAATTTTGTCTCAAAGTGGAGAAATAAATCTTCTGAGGTAAGACTGCCTGGTCACATGACAAAGTTTACTTCATAGTTGTTTACATCTGGCTTTGTTCTGTGTCCTGTTGTGTTTGTAATGTTATTTTATCGTTATTTTCGTTTTAGAAAGCTGTTGAACTTTGTGATAGACGAACATTTTCCTTTTATAAATCCAGACAACCCAGAAAAATATTTGGTGAGTAATAAAAAAGCATAGCTGAATGTACCACTTTTGTTTTAAGTAAATAAGCTATTGAGGTTTTCTTTGCAGGTGTTTTTTTCCACAGTTGTAAATGAAACGGCACATCTGATTGCCCAGTGGATGTCAGTCGGTTTTGCACATGGTGAGAAACTGAACATTCGTATCACACAGTTTAAACCAACGCTACTTATAGCTGTCGCTGTTCTCACCACAGGTGTGTGCAACACAGACAACTTCAGTCTTCTTTCTATCACCATCGACTACGGACCCTTTGGCTTTATGGAGTCATATAACCCCAGTGTGTAGACTGTTTCATGTCGCTTTTACTCCAAAATAACTGAAATCCTCTTGCTGTCAGTTCTCAGACAAATATTTTTCTTTTTGTTGCAGATTTTATCCCCAACACATCTGATGATGAAGGCAGGTACAGCATTGGAGCTCAGGCAAATGTTGGCCTCTTGAATCTAGAGAAACTCTTGGTGGCTCTGATTCCTGTGCTTACACAGACACAACAGAAACAGTAAGAATACCACAACATCACTTTGTCTCAAGGGGGATTTACTAAATATAGGACTTGAACTCTTTTTGTCATTTCGACAAACTGGAACAGCTTTGCTGTTAGCTCATTCTTACAGAAGCCTGTTTGTTTGTCTGAAAAACAAAAGCACAGAAACATGAGCAAAATAACTTCAGAGTCACACAAAGCGATGTGAAAAGAATAATACATCCCACAATTTATTTTCAGCATATTTTAATTCAAATATATCTTTAAAGATTTTCTTTGAGAAAGTGTGGAAATAAAGTAGTCATACAATGCAACAAAATGAAAGCAGCCACATGGAAAGTAAGTACACCCCTCACTTTAAATCTATCCCTCTTATGAAAACTGACCCCAGCAAAGCAAACAACCATTTAGTGTTTCTTGTCATCATACAAATATCTTCAAATCTTTTTAAGGTGTCAAAAAAAGTTCTGGATTATTCTTGTAAATGTATTTTTCCCTGTGAGACGAATCATCTATAGTTGTTTTTATATCCCTCGAAAATGAACTGGGGATGAAAGCAAAAACAACGGGAAGATCTGTGTGAAAAAGCAAACCATGCAGTTTTTAAAAGAAACTTTATTAAAAGGTTCAACTTAAAGAGACAGTTCAATCAAACAACAGAAATGAAGGTGTCAGCAAAACAGAGGTGCTGCAAAAAAAAGGGAATTTAACAAACAGACCAAAGAAAAACAATTCTGCTCAAAGAAGGCAACAACTATGCATTCATAGCCCCTAAAAGAAAACACACCACAGAACAATCCTCTGCAGGATGGAGAACACAACCACTTACTGCTAGTGCAGAAACACACATCACAAAACTACTGGAGCTGACCCACACTCTGAGGCTCAGGGGCTTCTCTCAAGCTTTTATACTGCAGTTGGAAACAGGACACATCCACCAACACACACACACACACACACACACACACACACACACACTAGGCCTGCTAGGGCTGTAACAGTCATGAAGAGATTGCACAAATTCCATGGATAATAAGTCACGAGATGTATCAATTGCTGAACTACATACAAGAACTTTTGGAATGATGTTCTCTGGACGGACAATTCAAATGTTTTTAGGAGCTGTTCAGGAGTATAACTTGTGTTGACTGGAAATGTTCCAAAGAGTGGAGGAAGACAAAGTGATCTGAAAGTTTAAGCTGCAGTGGATCGTGAAAACCGTAAAAAACTAACACAAATGTGGTTCAAAAAGTATAAATAATGAGCTGCGTAATCAAAGACTGGATTTAAATCTTATTAAAATATTGCAGGTGAATTCAAACTAGGCAGTAGAGACAGTCAAGAGATGTTTAGAGGAGTGGTCAAGAATAGAGCCTGAGTGAAGCTATTCAATGATGCAACCTAAAACGCTAAAATTCTTATGCTAAAAAATTCTTATGCTAAAATTCTTATGCTAATGTTTACTTACTTTTTTGCATAAATATTGTAATCTATTGAAAAAGCAAATAGGTAAAAAAAAAAAGAGGTAAAAGTTCAGTGGGATATACGTAGCTGCTTATTACACCTTCAAGTTTATTAATGTGACTTCTTTTCTAATTTGAAGAAATTCATGAAGTCAAATTGTAAACTTGTCATCTTAACTTTTTGCAGGGCGAAAATTATTCTTAAAGGATATGCCAACATTTACCAAATGAGGTGAGCTTCATGTGAAATGTTATCTTACTTGTGTTCATGCTGCAGCAAAGCCAAGACTGCATTTATTCATGTCTCCACTTCAGGGTTCACCAGATATTTAAGGCAAAACTGGGACTTCTTGGTGAAGATGAGGACGATAACGACCTCATTGCTTTGCTGCTTAAGGTGATTATACAGTTTGTTTCAGTCTTCTAAATCAGTTTAGTCTCACTCTCTGCACTGTAATTTCACTTTCCCTTTACAGGTGATGGAGGACACAGAGTCTGACTTCACCATGACCTTCAGGGAGCTCAGCGAAGTTTCAGCCAAGCAGCTTCTTAACAAGAACTTCACGCAGGTGGAGCTAAAAGTGACAAAATGTTGTTGTTCCTTTCAATCTCTAGATTTTGTTGTGAAGCTGGCCGATCTGTTGAATCAGTTGTACCAATACTGAGCTTTCCTTGCACAGCATGCATTTCTTATAATTAGGCATGCAGGAAATGTAAAGGATTGTATTATTTCTAAATCAGATGTGGGCTCTTGATGACCTATCACACCACAAGCACTTTTCTGATTGGCTTAACAAGTACCTGTTCCGGGTCAGTAGGTAAGGAAGGTCACGAGAGGTCATTTTGAATTTACTTATTTACATTTGTGTGACATCAGGATGTTTGTTGCTGTGAATTAATCTCTTTCCTCTGTTTCTGTTCAGACAGCAGGATGATAGCGATTTGGATCGTCAACACAGGATGAAAAGTAAATCAAACTGTAACTAAATCTTAATGTTGATTAAACGATGAGGGATATAAATATTTATATTCTTAGATGTTTGTTATGCAGTGGTGACAGAAACATCTGATTGGATTAAATGTTTTACAGATGTAAATCCGAGATATGTGCTGAGGAACTGGATGGCAGAGTCTGCAATAAGGAAAGCTGAGAGGAATGACTTTTCCGAGGTATGTGTCTGATAAAAGGACCTGTCACACAAAACAAATAAAACGACACCCAAAGTTGTTTATGATTTGTTTCTACTACAGTTTACTTTACCACTTTACCACTAGGTGGAGCTGCTGCACCACATCCTGTCCTCACCCTTTGTTACACAAGAGACTGCAGAGGAGGCGGGCTATGCAGCAAGACCTCCACAGTGGGCTAGCAGGTTAAAGGTCAGCTGTTCGTCATGAGTTGCCTCCTAATAAAAAACTTGTAGCATATTTTGGTGTGATGTGTCATTTGTTGGGCAATATATTTGCTCCAAAAGGCAAAGAGATCCACAAACAAGCACCGACTGCAGGTGGTTACTGTAAAAGCCTGTCTGAGGGGAGGAAGCACAGCATTTAGCCATGTCCATGAGGTCTAGACTGTGCTGGCCCTGCGGCAGACTGACGACTTGTCCAGCAAAGCAACAACATATTTTAATAATACAGATCTTGATGGTGCAGCACAGCCAGGAGATTCAAGGGTTTATTTAGGTGGGTTGAAGAGTCAAATGAAAACAAACTATCTAACTTGTATATTTACTGGTAACACAATGACTGTGTTTTTACAGTATTTACAGCTATGTATGCAAATATATATACAATATGGAAGTATGATAACAGCATGACAAAGCAAACTGTAATAGTCTTTTTGAGCCCAACGTTTTCAAATGCTTTTCAAAACTGAACTTTTTTTCAAAGGTTAACTCGTTTTTGTCTTGGAAGCTGTTCAGAAAAAGGATGAATGACTAAAAGGGGAAATCTACAGAGAACTCCACTAGCTTCATCTTCGAGAAAAGGCTGATTAAGTTGTTGGCTGTGCAGGCATAGTTCATTCTGTATTTATAGTCCACAAGTTCTCTGTTCAGGCTACTGGTCTGCATGCTTCTTCCTCATGGCTAGCATCAGTTCTGACATGAAGTCTCCACCTCCTCCGCCTCCTTGCGTTGGTGCAGTCCTCTTTGGTGGAGCCGGAGGAACCTTCTTCAATGACCCAGAGGTCCTCACAGCTGGTCTTAGGGTGGCGACAGGAGCAGCAGGTGGTGGTGGAGGAGGTGGTGGTGGTGGTGGTGGAGCCCCAGAAGCTACAAACACTGGGTCAGGTGGAGGTGGTGGCAAAGACACTGGATCTGGTGGTGGCGGGGGCAGAGAGTGGTCCACGCCACCAAAACTAGGAGGTGGTGGTGGCAGTGAATTAAAGCCAGTAGCTGGAGGAGGTGGTGGAAGAAAGTCTGGCGGAGCCTCTAAGTGGTCGTCAGTGGGTGGAGGTGGTGGTGGAGGAGGGAGATTGTCCATATCAAGTGGAGGTGGAGGGAAGTTGTTTGGTTGATTCCGCTTTGGGGGGGTGGGTTTTGAGGCAGTCTTGGCAGCCATGGGAGGAGGAGGGAGCACTGGGTCTGGGGGTGGTGGGGGGAGGACCTCGGCTAATGGTGGTGGTGGTGGTGGAGCTGGATTCTGATAAGTTAGAATAAAATTGAATGATATAAGATTGACAGGAAGGGAAAAGATTCTTAAACAAAAGAAGAGGAGAGGGCTTGTACTGGATAAATGGTGTTGATGGCATTATGGGAAATGTAGGAGCTAGCTTCAGTTTGTCCTATGCATGGTTTGTTTTTATAGACTAAACTATAAAAACAGTCACAATAACGGCTAACCAATGCTTCCCTTCTGATGAAGTGCTGTTTACCTGAGAAATAGGTCCTGGCTGCGGCTTGGTAGCATGACCGTTGGCCTGGTTTGGTGATTTAGCTGGAAGAGGAAGAGAAACACTCAAGTGAACTTTCAGTACAAGTGAAAAAGTGTGTGCTAATATCACTGCATCAGATCAATGAAACAATCAGTGAAGGAGAAATTGCATGTCATGCTACCTTTGACTGTGGGTGAGGGCGTTGATTGATTGGAGCTCGATGGAGTGCTGCGGTTCGTCCACACAGAGTTAGAAGCCTTTATCTCTGCTGTTTTAAAGTTTTCATACAGCGATGCCCCGTACTTGAAGAAAAAGAAAAAGACAACCCGATTTTGTATCTTTGCTTAAGGAAAAACTGTATTTTGTACAGTTTTCATATTTACCTTTGCAATCCGTATTCCAGTCACCCAAAGGTTCATGGTCCAAATATCATCACAGCAGAGGTACTTTATGTACTGAGACTCTTTCTGGATCTGAGGATGCTGCAGAGGCAAAGCCACATACGTTTATACGTTTTTGATCAGCCAATCAAAAACACCACATGGAAAAAACATTGGGCCACACCTTTTAATCTTTGATTCCTTGTGTTTTCAGTCCCATCACCACAGGTGTATAAAATCAAGCACCTAACTGTGCAATCTGCTTTACAAACATTTGTGAAGGATGTTTTTTCTCTACTAAAGAGCTCACTGAATTTGAATGATGAATTTGGATGTTCCAACAGGATGCCACCATTGCAACAAATTCGTTTCTGAAATATCTTCCATTGTCAATATTACACGATCAGCTGTAAGTTATGTTATTACAAACTGTAGTGTTTAGAAACTGTAGCAAGACCACATAATATTACAGAGCTCCTTTAGCATTAGCACAAAAACTGTGGACCAGAGGCTTTCATGGCTCCTGTAGATGTTATGTATATGTGGCAAGTGATCAGCCGGATTGCATCAATCCCACCTTCTAAATTAAACTCGCGATGTCCAAAGAAATGTTTTTTAACAACTTTAACAACTGAAAATAACAACCCATAGCCAATTAGGACTTATTTTACCATTAAATATAAGGTCTTTCATGTCATTCATTAAATTTCTTCTCTCCTGTATAATCCACCATTGGCTGTAAATGGGATTATTGCAAACTGCAAACAAGGAATATCAGCAGTTCAGCCACAAAGTGTCAAACCACATAAAGTTCACTGATTGCTGAGGCACATAGTTTGTACAAGTGGCCAAGGCTCTGGTGACTCAGTAAGTGCAGAGCTCCAGATCTCCTCTGACATTAACATCAGCACAAAAACTGCGCACCAGGAGCTTAACGGTATGGATTTCCATGGCTGAACAGCTGGTGTAACTCAGTAAGTGGTCCAGTTCCTTCGTGTCCATTCTGGCAGATTGATCAGGATTTAAAATGATTGTAAGTTGAAACCCTGAACAGTTTTATGCACATGCAGGGTCTCATCTTCTCATAAAAGCATTAATAATTTATGAGTCTTCATGACTGTTTTCATGCTCAGATGTACAGATTTTAAAGAGTTCAAGAAATTAGCTTGAAGTTTCCATGATAATTTATGTCCTAAAAACCCAACTGCACAAATCTGCTTCATTACAGGAACCCTATCTTAATTAAATATATTGACAGTCACTTATATTAAATGCGCACTAAGCTAGTTTTGAGGCAACGACAGGCTAAACCTGCTACACTGTGACCTACTTGTTGCTATTGTTTACTTTCTCCTCGATATTACAGAGAGCCATAAGGGGGCAGCGTGGGTCTAGAAGCAGATCGTTTGGTGCAAGTCAAATAAATAATAAATATATATATTCACTTCCTGTTTTGTGGGATATTTCTGTTTGCAGGTGTGAACAGAAACCAGTCCTCCGATGGATCATGTAATTCAATATTATTGCGACTAGTGAGAAGGCTGATGTTCGTTTTGCTTTTGTTGTTGCTTCCATGCAAGAAGATATCCACATATGCCAACTTTATGACCATAAACACTTACTGTAACATTAATTCCCCCAGTCTATTGTTTCCCTCCCTGAAGCCGAAGTTAAATTACCTTGTAATGACACAATATGAGTTATAGAAGCTTGGTTATTCATAATGGGGGTGGTATTAGAGATCACCTCCGGCTGCTCCTCTGAATATTTAACAGCAAATTGATGAGGCTAAATTGTTCTGTTGTCGTCCTTGAATTGCAGCAGTTTTTTGTCAGCTCATAAACGCCACCTCATCAATCTGTCAAAACGCTAATTTAACATTCTGGCAGCTAAGAACAGCTTCAGCTATTACTGTATTTACTTTGTAAGTTTAACTTTAAGGTAAGGAGGCCAGTTGAAACCTGGCTGGAGTTCTGAAAGGTAATTTTCTGTTTGCCCTTGCAGCAGCGCCTTATTCCCTTCAACCCAAGCCTCGAGTATTTTGTCTTTCACTTGAAGCTAATTCAGTTTCTTTGCTTCTCTAAGCTCTTTTTGCTCTGCTCCTCAACATCTAGTCTAATGGGATCTGCTGATTCTAGTGTTTCCCAGACAAGATAGGGGAAAAGAAAAAAGCAGACTTTCACATCCCTTTAACACTGACCAGCAAACCATCTAATTCTTGCTTTTGCGTCCGTCAGCATTTTTTACCCTTAAATGATTACTGTAAGTACCTCAAACTACTGCCACTATTACACTTTAAAATCACTCTTAAATAGACAAAAAGTACTTTTGTGTAAATGATTACAAGAAGTAGGAAGTTTCTTAAAATTCTTGCCACTTTTGAGACTAAATAGGACAAAACGGTGCTGTTTCACTTCTTTAAATCGAAGTATTAATTGCTTTTGAAAATTTCCAGCCATGCAGGCAGCTGCAGGGCTTGCCACGCTCACCACTTTGGTTAGCATCTTTTAAATAGTGCAGCACTTAGTGTAGCACACAGTGTGAAGGAAGTTGCAGCTTCTGCGTTTATCTGGTCCACAATGAAAGGGCGTGTGGCGTGTGGCTTTGAAGCGAGCTGAATTGATATGCAGCCTTACCTTCAGCACAAAGCAAAAGTCAGTTGGAGCTTTGTATTTGCTCTTAAAGTCTTTGCCGTAGTAGACGTTTACGTTGTCGAACTGGACGAAGCAGACGAGGTCACGGGACGACTGAAAGGGAACAAAAGACGATTGTTCGGTTTGGGTTTTTTCTTTTTTGCCATTTACCTGTTTCTGTGCCAACTAAATTCAATATCTACCCTACAGATGCAGTAGCAGGGTATAATGTGATGCATAAATGGTTATTTGGGAGCAGGAGCTGCCAAAAGATCTGAGATATGTGGCAAGTACACTGCAGGTATCAGAGGGGGAGTAATAACCCCAGTTATATCCAGCGGTGCATAACACAAAAGTGGGGTTAATAAAGCTGAAAGACTCTTAACAGTCCCTTGGAAAGATGAAAAAACTTGATATTACACTTCATTAGGGTTTCAGTTGACATAGCAAAAATATCTCTGTATCTGTGGGATTTTCATCTTTCACCACTTCTGTTCAGCATGTCTGAGGCCGGCTGAATCAGAGCATTAGCAGTTGGACGTGTGTTTTCTCTCTTGCATTCTCCTTTTGACTCCTGACCTTGGTCTTCCCTTTGGGCACATAATAAATTCCCGAGGCCCTCAGCTGGAAGAGCCGCTGCTTCCAGGACTTCTTTCCGTCTTCTCTAAGATGCAGCACCCCCTCGAGATCAGGCACGATGATGGAAGTCCCGCAGAAGTTCTCCTGCAGAGATGAGGAGGGGATGAAAGGGTAAGTTACTAATAGGAAAAAGTCACCTTATGGATGATGTTACACCTATAGGTTGTATGTGAGTGTGTTTTACCTGTATTAATAACTCTTTGTCCTTATCTTTCATATCTCTGAGAGTTGTCTTATCCTTCTTCCACAGATAAAAGTTCTGCAGGAACAAAACAAAGTGCTTGAATTATTGCTTTAGGGACGGGCATGTTGGTTTATTGGTTAGGCCACCTCTTTGTAAAACAACTTAAACTGGACCTATTAGACTTATTTACAGCTCAGTTCTTTTCTTCTTGGAATCATATGAAGAAGGTTTGCATGAACAACAATTCAGAAAAAAGCTTATTTATCTCACTGGGCCTTGATGCAGCTTGTCGGTTCATCCTCTGTCTGAAACGAGCAGTTTTAGCTCCTCTACCTTCAAGGTTTTAAGGGTTAAGGAATTAAACTAAAGGATATCATTCTCTAAAAGAGCAGAAGAAGTCATATAACCTTTAAAAAACAAAAAACATCAGGGTCTCAATCCCTTTGGTCTCTGTATGAGTGAAATACTTTGGCGTCATATCATAGTCCGAGCCAGTATGTTTTCATTGTGAGGAAAAGCCCAGAGGGAAAATCTATTTGGTAGTTCATGTCAAAAGCTCAAATAGTAAATGAATAAGGACATACTGTATGAAAGAGATCTGTCTTTTGTTGGAAGACATGGAAGACATGATGGAATACTTTAAAAACGAGAAAATCTTCGCTGGTTTTCCAACCCAGCTGTTTGCCTCTGCCAACAGACCGAATCCATTAAATACTGTAAGATATTAAAGGGTCTCATTGTATCACAAACATGCCAAGATCTCCTTTTTTTTGCCTGAAGCTGTTTCGCTTGATATACTGCAGTGTGGACATAAACGTAAGAGGTCGTGCCGCAAGGACGAAAAGACATTGCATAATTGAGAAGGTGAAAACAACCAGACGGCGCAGAGCTGAAACAACGTGCAGATAGATTTGCACAAATTCAGTCCAAGAATAAGGAGCCACACCACATCTCACCCAATGGATGTGTGAGATCCCACACGAACGCTGCTTATTATCAGTGTTCATTTATAGAGGTTCATATAGTTTTATAAAAGAGAAACTATTGAAGTAGACCAACCTGTGGGTTTTTGAAAACCTCATATTTCTCTGGTCTCTCTTGGAAGAGTACTTTGTTCTCGCTGTCCCTTGTCCACGCTGAGAGTGGGTCCACAAGGTTCTCGTGGTCTTCAAACGCCCGTTCTGCCAAAAGAAAAGAATAGATGTATAACTTATTAGTCTGGCACATTCATAGTGAAATATTGCTGGAGAAGAGTCATTTTGATGTACTGTTTTTTTAATGAGATGACAGATTCTTCACATAGTTTAGCTTTTGAAATTCCACCATGCAAAGTCACACCAGGGGAATGAAGAGGCTTGAACTGGAGAATATTAAGGTACCAAAGGGCCAGAGCGACTTTAAGCCAGACCTGAGTGAGTCTCTCAAGCGTATGACACACATATTGCTATTTATAGTCTCTATTCTGATATGTTATTTGTCTACTTCCTAAAAAACTGTAGTTCAATATCTTGTTACACATATGTCCACAGTATCAAGTATCAAGCTAAAGTAAAGAAAAAGAAACCTTCTAATTAAGTGTTTAAAAGCCATGATTTTAATGCTGGAGCTTATCCATGTGGTGCTTCATCTTACTTAATTTTAGCTTTATTTAATATATCACTAAAATTTATACCTGCTGTCACTGGACAACAGTGGAAATAAAGAATATTATTACCCTGTGAAATGACAAGAAAGGCTCACATCTAAATGGATGTGATTAGATGACTGGTGAGGACAAAAGTCCATTATTTTAAAAAAAAATTGTATTGTGAGATTAGTATTTTTTTGCTTTGAACCTTCATCGGGGTCCGTTTTAAATTCAACGGAAGGAAACAAGTAGTTCTCTTTTTGTTTCTAACACAGTCATCATTTGCAAAGCTAAAGCAGCCTGAGGTTCAAAGAGCAATACGTTTCTTTTCCTGCTCTGAAAAATAAAAACAAAAACAAAAACAGCTTCTGTATTTTATTTTTTGCTAATATATTTAGCTATACATGCATAGCAGCCTCTGCAAGTTCCTCCTTGGTCTTCCCCATGCTTTTAGGAACTGTAGAGTAACCTCCCACTTTTGCATTTTAAAACTAAAATGACAGAAAGCAGTCCAAGGTCTTCAGAGCCGGAGGTGAAAAGCACGCTGAAGGAATTTATTTTTTATTCCCTTGTTCTCAGATGCTGGTCCTTTCATGCAACATGTGGTGGTTCTGAATGTCAGATATTATTAGCACATTTAAGTAAAGCACTATTTCTTTCTATCTCTGCAGTAAATCCAGCTGATCTCTCTTCAATCAGCCATGAGATATAGTTTGGCTCAGCCACTTTGGAAGATTAAACTGTCTCCAGTTTACTTTCTCGGTGCACTATTGTTCAAACCAGAAAGCACGCCAGACTTTATCTTTGTGCCATGAAGCAAGTCAAAACAAATGCTTCGCCGCAGTAGATCACTCCATCGCGAAATCTTTAAATCAGCTGCACTTGCTTCAAAGTCAGTCGCACAGCTTTACAATTGTCTATTTCAAATGAGCTGAATTAACGGAGGACCCAATAAAATCCAACCTCCAGCATTTGCTGGCAGGACTTTAAATGGTACTAAACCTCCAAAACACATTAAGAGCTTTTTCCTTCTCCTCCTCCTTCTCCTCCTTTTTCCTCCTTTGCCCACCCACATGCCTGGTGCTGTAGATCTCCATCATATACTGGCCCTTTGAATGTAGTTTAGCCCTGGTCTCAAATTATGGGTTACCAGCTGAGGCAGAGGTAGGCATTAAATAAATTGCTGCCAGGGTTCCAGACTAGTTTGACTATTACAATCATTAAATGGATGGTGTGACTTTGCTTGCTGGAGTGAGTTATTAGGAGTAAAAGTCCCTTTGAACTGCATTAACCACATGGTGCTTTTCAGTAGTGTGCATGGCGAGCACATGGGTGAATGTATGACAGCGGAGATTTTCTGGAAAGCTGGTGTTGCTCGTTGAGCTCTGTGGGTGTTTATTGGGCATGATTTGCTTTGACGTTTTGCTGAAGAAGATTAAAGGTCAGCTGCAGTGTTAGTAATGTTCAAGGGTTTAAAAATGAATTAACTGTTTCCATTTTGGAGCTGTTTTTCTGTGCAGTTAGCCAAAGGTGACACAAAATCCCAAACACTCTTGTGCCTGTGAGTCAAATGGCGCACACAGAGGAATTCTTGCATGGCTGGCACACTATAGATAGCAGTCTGTGTGTCAGACGACTAATTTAAGCCAAGAACTATGATTTGGTTAGTGCTGACCAAAGGGAAAAACGCACATCGGCTCTTATTTTTTGCACCAGCAGCAGATATGTCATCTTTATCATGAGGTGCAAATAGAAGTGGGAATATAAATCAAAATGAAGGAAGAGGAATTTAACTTGAAATTGAGATTAAAAACATTACTAAACCCTGCAGTTCCTCTAATGGCCACTTGCGGCTTGCTTTAAAAGAAGAAGACACACATAAATCCCCCTCCTTGTACACATAAAAAACTTTCTAGTTGATTCAGGGTGTCTGGAATATCTTTCCGAAGCCATGTCTCTCTCATTATCATGATGTAGTGTGCTGACAGCCAAAAAGCTAATGCTGAAGCTCAGAATGGAGAGGCTAAATCCAGTGGCTGATGTAATATGCCCAAATTTACAGTTGAAATACATGCCTTGTATAAAAATCGAACAAACAACAACAAAAACTCTGTATTGTACTGTATTAACTGTACAAAGGCTTGACGTTTGCATTGTTTGCTTCAAATAAGAGGTTGGTGATAACATTAGCATAGCTGCTATCTACATGCTAGGTATCATTTCATCTAATTTGTTACTTTAAGAGCATTTGTGTATACCGGTAATTATTTGAGAAATAATATGGCTTGTTGTGAATTTAATTTCCTCCATTCAAGAATTGTTTTTCAGAGTTGTTGAGAGTGATATGTTAGTACTTTATTACTTTCTCTATATGACACTTATAACTAAATTGCAGGTTCAGTCAAGCTAGTTAGCTTTAGCTGATACCTTTAGCACTCCACCTTCACTTGTAAATGTCATGACTGGTAGTTTAGCTCACTGGGTTTCCACATTTGTCTAATCTTCCCTGTTTTATCTAACAAAGGCAAAAATGTCCGAAAAATTATTTAAAAATTATTGTGAAAAAGACAATCTAGACAATCTAGTCTAAACCAATAGGTGATGTCACAGTGGTTTTGTCCATCTTTTATGTACAGTATGATATATATATGAGAGTGCTTTGTTGATTTATTCCATCCGTACCAAGAGTAAAGTCTTAGTTGAAGATTTTATTTTTATTTTACATGTATTATACCCTTTAACAGACACATTCTTTGATAGGAAAACGTTTTTAAAACAAGTGTTATGAAAAAAAACCTAATGATATATATCCCAATCTGATAAAGTTTATTATTCTGTACCATTGTCCTCTCATGTTGTCAAAAGCGTGTATTTATCCTCTGTTGAAAACAGTCATTAACAATTTATGATTTTTCTGTTTCTGAGTAATATTTTCTACACACCACAGTCCCCAGCAAAATAATATATTATTAAAGTTATATAATTATGATGAATGTCTAAAGATGTAAACTGCAGTGGATTAACATGTTCTTATTCTTCATCTTCAAATTTAAAATAAGAAATTGAATAATTCAACGCTTAGCCATTAATTTTGTGCGTCACAACAGCATATAAAATTTCTTTAAAGCAAAATAATAACGACTCATATTTTATTGCTCACAAAAGTTAATGGTTTTACCACCAGTATTTGATTAAAACTGCTTCAGGATGAAATAAAACAAATCTCTGTGTATGATATAGAAAAATGGCTATTTAAAAACACCAATTATCTCTGTTAAAATCTGATAAAGTGGTAAGAAAACACAAAAAGCAGATGGTACCGCCAATGGAGGTGCAGCCCAGCAGCCGAAGTAAATATAGCACAGACAGCTCAGACGGAGGCCTGAGATCATAAGGCTTCTATTTCCGCATGACAGGGAGGATGACTGACAGTGTCCGATACAGCAAATTAAACCCACCTGTCTACACTCCTCGTGTGAGTGTAAGCAAGAGAGCGACAGAGAATATAAATATAAAGGAGAGGAGGAGGGCAAGAAAGAGATGGATGGGAGTAAGATCAGTGTTTCATTGTGAGCTCGGTGCAGTTTGGCTGCCACCGTGCCAATAAAAACACAGTCCATCATCTCGACCAGGATGAAATATCCCACCTTGTACAGTGAGTGTATATTTTTGTGTGTGAGTGTGTTTGAGACAGTTTGACAGTTCATATAAAAACACACTGAAGTCTGGCGTTGTTAACACAGTAATATACCACCACTGTGTTTTTCTGGTTTTGTTGATATATTTGCTGCTCAGCTATTGCTTATTGCCGCGGCGTTTCTGCACTAAATTACCCAGATGTCACTTGTCGGTGAAGCGGTGTCAGCACAACTTTGACATCTTTCTCTGTATTTTCTGCCAATGTCATTTAGGTAGTTACTCATTCGTGCGATCAAGTTCTTTGATTTATTCCAAACTGCTCCTCGAATCGCAAACGTCTTTTTCTTTGCACTGAAAGATTTCTTATTTTCCCCTGAAAACACTTAACCTGTCTGCGGGTTTTTAAAACAGCAAATATCTTATGAAATAACTACATATTGAATCATAGTGCAATGGTGCCTTAAAATCATTTTCCATAAAGGTTCCATCAATACTGCAGCTGCATTTCCCATCAGACTCACTGCAGCATTTTTAAAGGTACATATAGTATATATTTCTACTAACGGACACTGTGTCACTTACCACAGCTATGCTGATGACACACAGCTTTATACAGTACAGTCTCCTAGAAATATGTGACCGAGCTATTCTGCATATAGTGCCTGTAACTTTTGTTCAGTTCAACTTAGACTTACCATTAATTAACAGTGACTGAGATTTGAACTTCAGACTCCTTACAGGGTTCCTTCCTTTCTGACGCTTGTAATAACCAAAATTTACAAAACTGACATAACTTTTCAGTCATTATGAATAAAAATCAGTGACTTGGCCCATAAACTCATTCAGAGAACATTTTAAAGGTCAAGACTATAGAGTTTTTTGGTGTGACATTATGCTCACATTGATCAAGAACTGTCTCCTGTATTGACCATGATACAACCACCAGTCTGTTACCCCTGACCAGTTAGTGAGTGGCTGTTGGAGGTTGCTGGCTGATAAAATTGGTCACTAAAAACCTCCTCATGATTGCTATAGTTGCCATGGCTGTCCATAGTTTGCATGTAAGACACTGACTTGTCGAGCAGTAGTAAAATAAAAATTTAAAGTGTAACAGAAACCAGAAATGGAGAATCACCTTCAAGATAAAAGCTAAACTGTCAACACATTTCAAATTGCACGACGGTTTCTGTTTCTGGTTCACTAATGCTCAGCGGTTACTTAGCAAGTGTTTCCAGACAAGATGGTGTCTTGATGCAACCACAGCAATTTGTTACTGACCAAACCAGTCAGGAGCATTTTTTGTCAAACGGTCAGGGAATATGTATCTTTTTCTAGCAACCGATGGTTGTCAGATAATTTCAGACCGGTCATCAGACTAAGTCATTTGACCCTAAAAGAAGTTAACACCATCAACATATCACTGTATAGCATCTACTCTATGGTAGCTTACATGCTATATTATGGTAACTCACCAAGCTGCAGTTCTGGGTTGGTCTCACATATGCTCCAGTTCACATTGCAGTCACAATGAGACTTCTCAAACATGTTGTCCAGAACTTCCCTGACATTCTGTCGCTCATCGACCATCAGCGTCTTGGAGCTGCCATCATTCATTAGTACCTTCACCACCAACTGTCAAACAGAAAAACACAGCTTTTTAAATTTTTTTTTTTTTTTTTACCACACAAGCACAAAAAATATCATTCCAGTATATAAAAGTGATGTTTTCTGGTGTTCTTGACACAACTTTAGATTTTAAAAATTCTATTTTTATGGCAAACTGGATTAGCTTACCTTAGCTTGCCAAAGCAAAAGAGTTAAAGCTCATTTTTACTGTATACTTCTTGTAATCTTTGGACAAACAAGCACATTCTTCGTCTTGTGTACAGAACTGCATTCACAGTATTCATAGAAAGCCATTTACAGTATAGATTAGCATTAACTAGATTTAGCCAGCATCTTTTAATCTAACTCCCAGCAAGAAACAGAGCAAAAGGTTTAAGTTTAAGGTTTTCAACATGTTGGACAGCAGCAGGTGTAAGACATTAAATCCAGCCTTTATGCACATGCAGCTTGTTTGCTTGCCAGTTTAATTACAGGATATGCACAGTAAATGGATGTTTCTGTCTCCTAACGTTAGCTTTACTGGAAGACTTCGAGCATCAGCACTTCTGTCTTCTGATTCGAGCTTTGCTGTAATTTCTTCTTTATTGTCTTTTTGCAGTCTTAGCACCTCACTCAGAGTGTTGGATGAGATTAATTTTGCCCCAGAGCAAAGCATTTTTCCCCCTGCAGGCTCATGTGGTTTCACAATTCCTCTCATCTGGTAAGAAATCCTGCTTTGGAAAAGCTGAGGAGTTTCACAGCACTAAGGTCAGCCAGTTGCTTGCTTTTTGTCATAAAAATGGGGGTTTCAGAGATGTTATCACAAAAGGATTTAGAGCTTCAGGTCACAAGTCACTCAGTTTCACCCTCCCTTGAAAAACAGTCGGGTTTTGACATGTGGTTGAATGAACTATCGCTGGAAATTTAATTTTCCTCCTAGCACTTCCTCTCCCCAAGATGCTATCTTATAAAAAATATCCCCAAACATGCTAAGAAACCAGTGGGCTTATCTGAAACTTGTGGTCCTCTGACCACTTTCTGCTGAAATTCCTGGAAGTGCACCTGGCACTTCTGTATCTCTTCTATGAACCCAGAGACACACATCCATATGAAAGTGGCCCGTGTTTCCTCAGCTTCCACACGCACACATGGCTTTTTAGAAAAAGTTCCTTTTTAGTTTTCACTTCTAAGAATTTGTAACTACCATCTTAACAGGGAACTAGGTCACTGCGAAGAGCCAAATCACGAGTAAAAGAGTAAAACTTGGCAGTCGTATCAGTCACAGTCATCTATGATAAAAGAATGGCATGCCATCTGCGTGAAACTAGTTTGGTTTTGTGTAAAAATTGCTGCTTTGGAAGTGTAGCTTTGCATGCAAGAACACATGTCTGAGCTTTTGAATGCTGCTTTGAAGATGAGAAAGTGTCCACATATCACCCCCAAACAGGAAACCACGCTGTCCTGCGGGATGTTGGCTGGATGAAAGTAACCATCCATTACTGTGATTGATGGCTCTTCCAAAAGAGAAAAAAGGAAAGGAAACCCATGCTATGTTTGACCATTAACTCTTTTACAGTAATGTTCAGGTAGCTGTAATTCTATACGTCTCTACTCTTGCCAGTGGACGTCAGCTCAGAGGGCAAAACAAGAAGTCGGTGTTTGCTTGTCTTACCTTTTTAACTTTAGCTTCCTTTAGTTTCTCAAGAGCGAGTTTGATTTTGTCTGCCTTCATCTGCGCCTCGATCTCCTCCTGAATAAGATGTGCACAGGGATGAGATGGTACATGGTCGTCAACTTTTTTTTTTTTTTTAGAAAAGTACAATGTAAGCACCAAAAAGAAAATTAACAAACTTCACAATCATAAAGAAAATGTGTTAATTCACTTTTTAACAGACTGACGACCTATTTAGGGTGTATCCTGCTATAATCTGGTATTTGTTCGACAATATACAATTTCAAGGAAAACAGTTTTTAATTTAAAATAAAGGTTGCCAAAAATTCCTTTCTTATCATATAAAGTGAGTCACAACAAAAAATATTGCAGTTTGTAACAAAAAAAAAAAGAAAGAAAAAGAAAAAAGGAAAGCATGAGACATCTCTGTGAGTCATTTTTAAATTTTTAACGGGGCTAATGATGAGGAGGGGGATATTGTACATCAAAGGTGTAAAACACAAAGTTCCCAGCAGACAACTCTTACTTAATTGCATTATGTAGTATTACTCCATATAATGACACTCTATGGGGTGTTCTGAGGTTAACAACATGTGTAGGTTAATGAGATTACTGCAGTTCACTTGAACTAGGAGCAACCTCAGTGACGCACTCTCAAGGTGTGATTCAATGTGAAAATGACCCACTAGATCATTTATGAATACTGTTATGACTTATAGCTCATTTTACTGTAAGGCAGAACGTAACATCTGTGCGAATAAGAGCATGTAAAGTATATCTTCACCTTTAAATGAAGCAAAGCTCAACACTAGTACACCAGTACCACCACTGGAAGCTCAGAAAATGGAGCTTTCTATTATTATCTACTGCTGTAAAACTGTTTACTTTAACAAAACCACAATCTCTTCCAAACACTAGTCAAGTGTTTGGGGGCTGAGCCTATCATCCCACCTAGGTCCTACTTTCAAGTGGAACCACTCCTATGTGTAGCCTCAGGTGTGTTTACATGTGTGGATTCAGGCCTTAGAAACAATACACAACGTGATTGTTTGGTTAGAGACCTTTGTGACTCATTAGTGACCGACTCAAAGTCTTTTTCCATAGAACCAGTTCCAGTCAGCTCTATAGCTCTCATCATTATACATCATTTAGGAGGTTTATGTTGCATAAAGCTGTATACAGATCCAATGATTAGGGTTAACTTTTCTGGCTGCTGTTTGTGGCTTCATATTTCACTGTGCAAAGACAGTCGTATCTGTGTCAAAAAGAAAGTAATGACACGTACTTCTAGTTTGCAGAAAGGGTCCCAAGGGCGAGTCAGAAGATCAAACTCTAGCAAGTCTATCTCTGTGATGTAGCACTTCAACATTTTTCAAGAGGTGTAATGTCTTGTTTTCACTTCATCCCCTCCTGTGTGGGTGTTGAAATCTCCATGCAAGACTTCCATCTCGGACATTAAATCCTACCTGCTAGATCTCAATTAACTGTTTTCTCCAGATGCAATCACCCGTGAAAATCCTGACTGACTGCAACTTTAATGAACTCGTCCACGTCTACCTTACAGTGACGCACTCGCTGCCTCAGCACAGCTGGTGTTTTTACCTCAGACAGATGAGGTAACAACCTCTGCTAAAGCAATAAGCTCCCGTCTACCTCCCCCCCCCTCCCCCCCTCCAAAACTGTCACATCTTACCTCCCTTACTCCAAGCCCAACCTTTGCTATCGATCCTGTTACACTTTTCTCATTGCCGTATGTGTTTGATCTGTTCCAGACAGACCCTCGGCTGTTTCGCCTCACACGTCTCTGTAACTGTAACAGATGCCTCCATCCAGGAACGACTTTGCTATGATCTCACCGTTAAGAGCAATACCACTCTTCCAGGTTTCACAAAAACATACAAAACTCATCTTAAATTTATGTGCTAGAAACTGGTGATGTTTTTGTTGTAAAACTGTCTTGTCACGCATGGCTTATAAAGCATTTACTCATGGTAAACCAAGACATGCGCAAATAAAAGAAAGATTGTGACGTTGTTGATTCGTTCTACCAGGAGCTCAACAAACGGTTCTTCCTTCTGACCTGTGGCACTGCCCTCGAAACTAGCTCTCTCAAGCCTTGATTAATGCTCTGGTTTAAACTTGCAGAATTGCTGCATGTGGGCTCACTCACCGTTGTGGGCTTTGCACCAGAAGGAGGTGGAGGTGCTAAAGAGGAGGCAGCAGAAGGGACAGGAGTGCTAACATTGCTGCTTCTGCTTCCTGCAGATGACGGTGAAATGTGCGATGGGGCAGGTTCGATGCTCAGGCCCTTGGGCGGTGGTGGGAAGTCTGGTTGAGACGCTGACGGTGCCTTCAAGCATTCTATCTCTGTTGCCAATTTCTCCTCCGTTGCATTGAGGTCAGCCATCAAATCGGCCATGAGTGCGTCCAAGTCATTGCCCTCCAGTTCATGAAGGGACTCTGGTGAAGCAGAAACATTTTGTCAGGAAGTAACTCAATAGAGAATATTGTTGGATAGAATTTCCTTTTGTTCCTTTTTCAAAGTAATTTGCCTTTTTTCCCTAATTATGAAGAACTTTCCTTTTTTGAACAAGTTCCCCTTTCAGTTATGTTTTATTAAACAAAGTCAATGAAAGGAGTTCTTTCATTTTATTCCTCATTCATGTTCCCAATTTTGCTCCACTGAGGAATCAAGTTTCAGAATTCAGTAGAGGAAGCAACAGTTTCGTCTGCATGCAAATTTTAGTTTTGCTTTTTGTAGGCTGTCCTGTATTTAGATTCCTCAAAGCATTATTAAGTTAACACATTTATAAAGAAAAGTAACTGTATGTTATAGACCAGTCAAAAATAATTTGCCTTTGCTGATTTGGAGCGAGTGCAACCTGGATTACTTTATTTTGGCTTAAAGTTACTTCTATGAAAAGAGTCCAGCTCTGAGGCCATTCTCACTTAACTAATGTGTGTGACTGTGGCTTTTCAAGGTAAGGGTTGCAGCTCTGGAGAACTGCTCATCACAGGAAACCAAAGACAATAAATAAATCTTACTATAATAATTGTATTGTTAGTAATTGAGTGTTGAGCTCTGTATGACCATTTATTATTTATGTATCTCCCCCTAATAACTAGGCCAGTCTGCATAAACATCATCCCACACAGAGCAATTATAGCATCTAGTCTGATGTTGCGTTTACAATTACAATTGCATTAACGGTCGCTAAAGTTTGCATTCGAGACAGAATTTTGTTCGACTCACTGCTAACTACAGATACCATTATTTGAAAAATAATGGCATGTACTTATTCAACTATCTTTGTGGGATCATGTGAGGATCAAACTGATAACATATCAAAATTTCTTTGACCAACCCCCTTTTTTTCCGAGTATTTTTTACACCTCTGCCTAAGGATTAAAACATTTCAGGAGGCCCCTGACCCCTTATCTTATCTAATCTTGTCTTGTCTTGTCTTATCTTAATATAGAAATACGTTAAGGTTAGATTAAAACTTTTGCACATTGTTTTGATGGTTAAATTTGTAGCCAAATACATATGTGTGTTGATGGTGAGATTGAACCCTACACACAGAGTGGAGCAGGCAACTTTTAGCAACCCTTTAGCGCAAATGTGAAAGCACCTTATTTAATCTACCTCTCACTCTGTGCTGCATGTACTCTGGTCCCCAGTAATACATTTGCTAAGTTTAAAGTGGATGGCATTAACAGTTTGCACTCGTGCATTTGGGCACAGCCTTACTGAGCTGCAAGAGCGCATGTAGATTATAGTCTTTTATAAAACATAGCCATTTGTTGTGATTGATAGTTTATTTATATCAAGGACATTTTCCATTTGCAAAGCCCTTCAAGGCAGGCATTTGTTATAAAGTGCTGCACAGCCTATCAACTCACTCTAACAAGATTTAATGGCATTTACAATGAACGAAGAAAAAGGGAAAGTTAAATGCTAACACCAGCTGATATTGTGACCTTGTTCTAACATTATTGCAGCTTATTTTTTTTTTAGCTTATTAAAGCCAGAGGCAAACAGTGAGTAATTAGACTTTAATCTGTGCCCTCAGTTGCCAGGAAGTGCACTTTTTCTATTTTTTATTTTGTGTATTTCCATGCTACTTCTTGTTAATTTGAGCAAGCACACGACACATCCCACCCTTGCACAACTCGGGTGTTGACACTGCACAAAAGCTCAACGCCCAGCTCTTTGTAGTGTTTCCACACATAATGTCAAAATGTGAAGTCACCATTCAGGTCAGTGAAGCCGATGGAGTAGTTGACTTCCTTCTTTGTGTTGGAGAGAGCTTCAGGGGGCACCGTTTCCTCTCCAAGACTCTGAGACAAAGAATGAAGAAAGCAGTGTGGTTGTAAGAACGCAAATACAATTTCTGCACAGCCAAAATACTTCCCCACCCCCCACCGCAGAGGAGCACACTTTCATGTTTGAGCGCTCTGAAACCAAACTGTTCTAAAGCATTATGTCAGAGGACAGAGTTGTATTTTTTTTCTTTTGGGGGGCAAGAGTGAGAGTGTACCCACTGCATGAACAACATGACACCCCATCTTGGAAGAACTGAGATGGAAAACATTAAAGTGATCAATGGGGTTTTTTACTAAGAGGGAGAAAAAAAAGGCGTAATCTTTACTCGGTTGGGTTTTGCCATTTAACCCACCCTTCCAGAAAATGGTGGTATTTATGGTTCTTACATGACCACAAAGTGTGTTTCGTCTCAGTCACGAACATCTCAGTTAAGGATGGTGGGTTTTTGTTACTTTGTCATCTTCTCTGAAGAAGAAAAGTATCTCTAAGTCCTTAGGCGAGATAATTAATCACGGGCAGCTTGAACAAAAAAATTTATTTTTGTCTATGTGCTGCATGAACATTGAGATTTATGCCTTTCATTAACAGAAAATGTGGTAGTGGCACAAGCTCCTCTGCTACTTTTTATTGGTATCATATTAAATCCTGTCATGTTTAATACATTCTATACAACATAATTTAAATATATTTAAATTTAAATGGAGAAAAAGAGATGAAAACGTGACACCCGCTTATTTCAGATATTGGAAACTGGAGGAAAAAAGAAGCAGAAAAATGTATCTTCAGGGTGCGCCTGGGTACGCGTCATCCACTCATTCTTTCCTCTTTCAGTTCTTGGTTTTGTCTTTGTTTTATTTTGTTGTCACAGCTACAACTTGTCTAGCTGGCAATCGTGGCTCAAGAGTTGGGCGTTCATCTTGTAATCGGAAGGTTGCCGGTTCGAGCCCCGGCTCTGACAGTCTTGGTCGTTGTGTCCTTGGGCAAGACACTTCACCCTAACCCTACTGATGGTGGTCAGAGGGCCCGGTGGTGCCAGTGTCCAGCAGCCTTGCCTCTGTCAGTGCGCCCCAGGGCGGCTGTGGCTACAATGTAGCTTGCCATCACCTGTGTGTGTGACTGGGTGGATGATTGTGTACAGTGTAAAGCGCTTTGGGGTCCTTAGGACCAAGTAAAGCGCTATACAAATACAGACCATTTACCATTTGTAAATTGCTATACACACCAGAACGGACAGGAGCTATCACATTATTCATCCACTGAAAATTACCTACATATTCAATGTTTGTGTTTTGAAAAGATGGCTCTAAGGGTATTTTGTGCTATAAAGCAACAAGAATAGAATAAGTATATAGAACAATATATAGGCAAACAATGGCTGGTAAGTCACCTGGGTGAGGAGGTCCATCTCCCCCAGCATGGCGCTGAACATGGCGTCAATGTCGTCCATCTGGTGAAAGAATCAATAGAATAATCAGATATAGAAATTATCATTATTTTCAATGTGAAAAAATATAATATTTATAATATGTATTAATGAGCTGCACTGAATAATGAAGATGAAACAGACGGTATGTCCATTTGCATGGTTAAAGGCAAGTGCAGGCAGTGAGTGCTGATACAGTGCTGCTACTTTGCTGTGAAGTATTTGCAGATGTAATACGTTTCCCCAGGTTACGCTATATTGCGAAACATGTCCAACCCAGACTTGAAGGAACAAAGTGTGTATGCATAACTGCAGGCAGTCATTATTTGCCATAACATGTTGTCTCTTGTTGGAGCAAGTGAGTGAAGCAGCGAGTAAATATTATGTTGCCTTTTTTGTCATATTCAGAGTTGACTTTTTTATGCTGTGTCCTTTAGTAATCTGGATTTTGAAATCATGCTTCGTGTTGTATGATCAGTGTTTGTTTGAATCATTATACGAAGAAGAAGAAAAAACTGCATGCAACATTATGATGCCTAAGGAAAGTGGAAGAGCATAAAGTATGCAAGCTTCCACAATGTGCTTAGCTCGAAATTGCTCTTAACTGCTGATCAAGTTTCAAAATGGACTCATACATCAGGCTGGTACAGATTTATATACATCCCCCATTGTGGATGGATGAAGCAAAATGTCAGGATAATGAAGGTTATGTTTTTCATTTTAAGCAGAGTAACAGCCCGAGGAGCCACCGTGGTCACTGTGCCTTTTTTGAAAACCACTCCGAAAGCCTCGCTTGAGATTTACATTCGTAATTATGCACAGTAGGCCGTCTCCCCTGCACGTATTATTTGAAGCCTCTTTTCTCAAAGCAAATGTTATGATGGTCTGGAATGTGCAGTCAAAACAGAGTCCCTGTTTTCATATGCTGGTACGTGAGTGGTACCACAGAAACACTGAAGGTGTCAGTGGGAGTTCATCCAGTTAAAGTGGTGCTAATGGTAGCTTACTTTATATTGCTTACATGTGGGCTCTCCTAATTCTTCTGCTTCTAGTATAGCATGTTTCTGATAATGACCACTGTACTGCAAATGAAGTGCAGCCGATAAATCAATGAATTATAGAACCATCTTTTCTAATCTAATAACTTTATGACTTTATCAGTCTCTCATTGATAAAGATGCAACTTTGGCTCACTCTTCTTTACATCAATGCTTCAGTTCTTTGAGTTTGAAGACACTCATTTATGCACCGCTCTCTTAAGATCTCGCATTTCCATCGACTTGAGGTCTGGACTTTGACTGGGTCTTTGCAACACCTTGATTCTTTTCTTTTGCAGCCATTCTGTTGTAGATTTGGTGCTGTGCTCTGGATCTTTGTCCTATTTCAAGGCAAAATTCGAGCCAAGCTTCATGTGTGAGACAGATGGCCTCACACACTCGATCATATTTCTGTATACAGAGTGGTTTGTTCAGATGCAAATTTTCTAAACTAAACAGTGCTGCCATGCTGTTTTTAAATAGAACATGCTTTCTCCTGGAAACCCATGCAAACAAGTCTTCTGCTAACTTATGCTAACTGACATGCTAACTGAGGTAGAGTTTGAGGTGTAGCTCTTTTTGGAGTTTCTCTGAGTATTGCATGATCTGACCTCAGGGTGATGGTTTCCTGGGAAGATTATTCAAACGATCCCCTTGTGAATAATCTTTCTCACTGTAGATTGATGGACTTCAGAGTGTGTGGAAACAGCCTTGTAACCTTTCACAAACTAAAGGACAATTAAACAACTGCTTCTTTAAGATGACCGTTGATGTCTTTTTTCCCTTGGCATTGCATTAACACAAACCTGAAGAGTTCAGATCTGCTTTTGTAGACATGCTCCTACTTGCTCATGATCAGTTAATCAAATGCATTTGGTTAGCAGCACCTGGCTGCTACTTCTTAAGAGGATAGTGGTAGTTGCCTACTTTTCACATGACTGCAAATATATTATTACTAAAGGCTTGTTAACATAAGGTATGAGTGGGTAACTGCTGAAGCTGTCACTACTAAATTAATTCATTAGAGGAGTTTCATGACCAGTAAACCATCCGGATTCACTGGTTCCACCTTCTCACCTTCTACTGACCTGAATGCTACAAAATAACAAGTAAACATTTGCTTGTGCCTGGTTGTATTACCAGAAAGACTGCATTAAAATTAATCACCGATTTCCATGACTTTTACTACGTATCTACTGAAGAGATTGAAGGGAAAGATATAAATATTCTTGTTTAACATGCAGACTATGCAGTTATTAATGAATTAGAATGAGTCTGAATCTTTAGTGCATTTAGCACCATCATCAGGTCAAAAGATCTCACTGGTCAGAACTTGTACATTTGTGAAACAATATAAAAGAAGAATATGACACTCAGCTGCAGTTAATGCTTTCAGCCAGATCTTATCCTTCTATCATTCTGAGATAGAGTGACGATGACAAACACATCCAGCTTATCTAAACATCTCAATGTGAGTCAATGTGAAAAAAACAGCTCCACTTTGCATAATGTTTTGTGCAGATTATTCAATATTGTAATCTGACGTCACAACAATGTCAGCATGGCGCAGCACAGTTACTGAGTAACACCTGATTCACTGTTAATATGTTCAAAGTAAAAGCAATAAAATAAGTGCGACCTTTTTTTAAAAACAACACTTTTTAAATCAAGACATTTTACCAGCTAACCCGAGTGTTGCTGGCTTACTCATTTTGACGGACTGTGATTAAACTGCATGAATATAAGCTTCGGTTTGCCTCAGGTCAGTTATAAATTGCTGGGGTTAGTCTCAAGTTTGGTGTGGTTAAACTGATTAAGAAACCGATGCGCTGTACTCACTGTGTCTAAGCCACACCTCATATTGCAAAAATGCTTAGCATCAAAGAGCTACCCTATTATTGTGTTTTTTCAGCCTCTGTATGAGTCTTTAGAGGGTGACTAAGCATGACAACGTGTATGAGTCTGTTATGTAATGCATTTTCTTCTTATTTCTGACTGGTTTTGTGAATTAAGTACTAATTAAAAGCGTTTCACTGGGTGTGCAAGAGGAAGGGTGGGGGTAGCTGCAACCTCTTTTGTTAAATCAGCCCTAATCTAATTGGTTTAACTCATGCAGTGAGATTCTCTGCACAGATGTTTGCATTGCTATCTTCTAGTCTTTATTTTTTCTCTGCTGCGTGGTAGCGTCCATTAGAGAGGAAAATATTGGGCGATGCTGCAGAGTTTAACTCCCTGCTTTCACTCGTCACAGAGTCTGGAATGTGTTTAATGACATTTAGATCCAACATGAAAAAAATAAATTGCTGGAATTTAATTAAAAGACACAGGGGTACATCTCTCATTGACACTGTGTAGGAGACAAGAGTGACTGATTGTGTTCCCGGAAAGAGTTTATACAGGATCAATACTGTTTGAAACATCTAACAGATGCTGCGTGTTGGAAGCTCACAAGAAACTGTTAATCTTCTGGTGTCATATATCAAATCGCACGGTTCATAAACTGAAACGCCTCTGCGCACTGATAGAATTTGTTTGTGCACCATAATTTCCATGTGACGTACATATGTGGGGCTCACTGCTATAGCACGTGAGCGCAATCCTCCACCTTTTACACAAACGGTTTACCCCCAGGAGGAAGTGGTAACTGGTAAACTTCCTGGAACTTGCAATGTTGAAATGGTATCGGAAATGGTGACACAAGCAGCTGCCTGCAAATTTCATGGTACTGCTTCCTCAGTTCTCATTATGTCACTTTTTTTCACCTATACGTGGTCGGCGTTTCGAGTAAAAGAACGCACCATCTCTGAACGTCTGGTGCTACTTTTTGTTAGCAGTTTTAAAGTCACTGGAAGAGAAGTTTAGTCAGTCAATCAGATTTTGCTGAGAGGCTGTGTTTTGACGCCAAATGCATGAAATGAACTGCTCCCAGATTAGCGAGGAGAAGTGAGAAGGAACAGACCGTGAAAACAAGACGGCTTCTGCTGGTGAAAACAAATCGACCCAATTTTAACACACTCCCTCCTCACGTGTGCATTAGTGGAGTAATATCTCAGACACAATGTGAAGAATGGACTTTTTCTGTGCTATTTGTAGGTGTGATCCTGCAGCTGATACACAGATAAAGGTGTTAACCTCAGAGTCATTGCAGCACCACTAGTGTGATTATGGGTGGACTAATTAGTTTTACTCAAACGTGACCTAAAGGACGGGGGATTCTGAAGCTTGAAGGTATCCTAGATTTGGTCAAAGATGACCAAATCCACCTTTGAAATTTTACTTTTTTTTTTGAGAGAAACTAATGAATATAATGTACTCTAACTTTTCAAGCTTTAGGGGATGAGTTTGGTGTACTTTGGCAGAGCTTACCTAGTTACAGTAGCTGTTTGTGAATTTGAAAACAAGCAATTTGTCAAACACAATGTTGACAGGTTGTGAAATATACCCAACTTCAGCATCTACTTTACTATAAATGGAAACATAATGAATAAAGTTAGTGTTGCATTAAATTAAATGAGGGTTTAAAACATAACGTTTTGCAACCAGAGGAGTCGCCCCCTGGTGGCTACTAGAACAAATGCGTTTTAGATCTGGAAGCTACACTGATTATTTCTACAATCTGTGGAGTTGTATAAATTGGCTGTTCACAGAAAACACAATAAATCCTACATTTGACCAAATAGTCAATAATACCTCACAAGGAAACGACCATGATTAAAGCACCGTTTAAAATCAGACTTTTAAAGGATTCTTAAAGAAATCTGGCCAAAGATTTTATCATCAGTAACCGGAAAAAATTGCAAACTTGAAAGCTGAAGACCAGAACAGCTAAACTATTCAAAGTCACCCCAGTGTCCCTTTTATGAATGAGTAATAGCTCTACAAAGAAACCAAACTAATAACACCAGGAATTTTTCCTCTGCAAGCTCTGTAGCTTTTTGTGCCTTTCAATATATCAATTTACCGCAACAGAGTTCATGTTTGTGAACTTCTAGTCACATTTTCACACTTTCAATTCACAAAACTGTGCCACTGTCTCTTCACACTTTTCACTATTTTATTGTCAGACAAAAGGCATTTGTGACCTATCGGCGTTCTTAAATGTTATTGTTGGGCATCAAATGAGCGCATTGTGAAAAGCGGCAACTGTACTGTTGTACTTTTTATAATAAAAAACAGCAAATCTAAAAGCACCTTATAGCTTATAGCCTCTAGAAAACCCCCTCCCCCAATAATCTCAAATACATATCTCAGCCTTTTACATGCCACACATATGTAGCTCCAGGGTAGAAAATCAAAAGCAGACATCAACTCCAGTGTTTACCATAACATACAGAAACTCTCCCTCGTATGATCGGATCATATTTCTGTGCTAGGCTCTTAAGCAGATGTGTTTACAAGACTTGATGTGCTCTTTTTGCAAAGTAGGCAAATTAGAGGTTGAGCAGCAGGCACAAACCACTGAAGAGTATGAAAATGAATCAGAACCCTAATGTTTGCTGAAGCAGGTTTCAAATCAGACTCAAACCTACTGCACTCAGTACCCTTAATAAAATTTCTTGCTTAACATCTCTTAGAAAAAGCAAACACCCCCTTGACCAAAAGCCTTTTAATCCATCGCTCTGAAAGCAATGCGTTCAGTTAAACTCATAACAAATTCACTTCATATTTTTGTGACATGATTTAAAACCAAAAATGCCACAAGCCAAATATACAAAATGTTCCTGTCATCAACAACAAACTGACAGCACTATTAACTTTAATATAAGAGGCCGGCCCTATTAGTTTCATGTGGTTATTGAGTCATGCAGCACTATGAGACGATAGCGGGGTCCACCCAGTTGGAAAGATATGAACTTACATTCTTTTTACCAAATTAAAACATGGTAAAAAAAATCTTCTAAAAAGAGTTTTCTTTAAGTTCTTGTACTATTAAATTCAAAACCTTTTGAGAGTTTTTATCAGAGCGCACTGTAACTCACAAAGTTTGACAGGATGTCTAAGATTCTCATCTACAACATATCTGTACATAACGTCCTCAAGCTAAATTATTCTGCTGTAGCTGAATATACATATATTACAAACAAATCTCTCATTTGTTTTTTATTTTGTTTTGTTTTTCAGCACAACAGCCACCACAATCCTCACTTGTAATGTGCTCAGACATCAACGAACAATGTTCTCGCTCTGCGTTCAGAGGAAAGCAGCTTCGGTTGTTACCGTTATATCCAAAGGCACAACATCCAAACAGAGATGAAACTCACCTTTTTAAAATGTGTTAATCCTTTGCTTCGCCACTAAGTTTCAAGATAACAGCTTCATGGACATCAGCTCCACTTCGAAAGACGATTCCCTAATTAAGCTCGGCACCAAAAATTAAAGTCATATGCAGGCAGATTTTGGGTGTGCGAGCAGATTGAAGATTGCATTTGTCTGACTGTTGGCTTCTTCCTGCTTAACGCGGAAGTTCAGGTCTAGACCTGTCATTGCATTCCTGCTACAGAGTTCAGCACTTTCACAACACTCTTGTCTGGGCAGCGTTGATCCATCCTCTCCTTAACAGTGCTCCTTATCGGCACTGTACTGTAACTGTGCCAACGGGGACAGAGAGGGAGAAATCATAAATGTGTTGTGGCTTCTCACAAAGACTTCGAGGGTGACTGACAGCCACTCGAGCAGATTGGGACGTTTTTTTTTTTATTGAAAGAAAAAAGAAATGCCTCAGTTGGATCGAGAGAAAGGCTGAATCAGCGGGAGGAATGTGACGGGTCTTGGTTAATAATTCACCTCGCTGAAACTGATTTACAGCAAGTCTGTAGACAGGAGTGGCAAGCTGTAGTGGTGAAAGACACTTCAGCTGGGCTTTACTTCTCTAAATTCTTGTTAGAAAATACAGTCTCCTAAATGAAGTGCATTATTTGCTGTACAACCTCTAACATACCTCCTAAATGTAAGCAGAGTGCACTAGAATATATTAATTAACATGAAATCTTAGCTTTTATTGTTAAAATCAGGAAGAATTGTCTTAGGGTAATGGTGTGGTGCAACAAAGTCGGTTATCTTTAGGAGGAACCAGGGAGAGTTAAACTGTCAAACTATGAATAGCCTCTGGCTCTGTTATCTGACCGTGCAGACACAGATAGCTGTATTTATTTGCATTTCTCCTTGAGTCATCTTGGGAGGCCAAAAACAAGATTTCTGATCTCTTTTTTTATCCTCTTTCCACCTTAAAAGGAATTCACATACAATATTAAAAAAAATGAATTCGATATTATGCCTAACAGAACAGATTATCTTGATCTTTACTAATATTAACACTTCTATGTCCCATTTCCCCTCAAGACCAGCCTGAGCCGTGACAGCAAAGACAAACCACTGTGGCAAAATCCCGTCATCATATGGTAAATCTGAGCACCACGAGGGGGAAACCAAATAACCTTGAATGCTTCTAAGAGTCTTTCATGACTCGTGATGTATTAAACAAACACCCTGGGTACAAGCATGTGTCCCAACCACCCTCATTTCCTCATTCTCTCAGGGTTTGACAAACAGATGGACACCAAAGGCAGCCTCCCATTAGCTCTAAACATCTCCCAAACACAAGCACGCCAGTGCCTCGGAGAACATTTCTCAAATAAATACACTGATTAACAGTTGTGGAGCTCGGCAGCAGAGAGCGAGGGGATTTTTTTGTCTGCTCCGCTTTGCGTTTGCGCTCTCCTCGGAGACTGAGGGTGGTCCAGGAGAGCTGATTCTGATAATGGTTTTTGCCAGCATATGTTGCAGCTCATACATCACAGCACCGAGCCAAGAAGCTGAACGAGATTGTTATTTTTTAGTTATTTAATCAAACTGTGCGCTTAAAGGGGGCTCTGCAGTGTCGAGCCTTGAGTTCTACTGCACAAAGAAAAGTCTGTCGGCTTGAAAGTTGCAGAACTGCATATGGTAAGGTGTGAGGTGTGGAGCATTCTTTTTAGCCATTAGTCTGCATTCTGAGCGCTCCAACACACCTCAAGATGCATTTCTTGTGCCTGGGCACTAAAAGGAAATGGGGTGATAATGACAAAACCAGTGGGCACCTTGCAAAACGATATGTAGTGCTGCAGAGGAGAAACTGTCACTGAGCTGATGTGAAAAGTGATGCATGCAGGAGTCTTTTAGTGCCCTCTGTTTGTTCTTTGCTGTACTGTACATGGCAAACATGACTGAAATCAGTGGGAGGTGTGAACCTACCAACCTGCAGTTATTTTCCCCACTCCCTCTTTGTGGTGCAATGATCAACACCGCAAGTTTGCACCGGGATAACGAGCAACAGCTAGCTGGATGTTTTTGAATGCAAGAACATACGAATGGATTCCTGATACAGCTCTCCTTATTCTGCTTGGCTGAATTTATTTGCCATCTGAGCCCAATAAATGAGTACAATGAGGTTTGCTTTTGTTAACATGGGCTAGGATGACTGCTGTGACTGGCTGAGTCAAAAACGTGAGCAAAAATGCCCAAAATGTGACACGGAAAGACAAAATCAAAAGAGAAAAAGGCATGATTATGTTATAATAAAATCATAAGGTACATTTTTACCAGCATTAAACTGTTTAATTGGACAGTGTGACTTCTTTAATCAAATTTACACTTCTGTGTGTTATAGAATACAAGCTTTACAGTAAATTACTGCCATTTGATTGGCCGTCATAAGCAATTAATTAAGTAAATGGTAAATGGTAAATGGCCTGTATTTATATAGTGCTTTACTAGTCCCTAAGGACCCCCAAAGCGCTTTACATATCCAGTCATCCACCCATTCACACACACATTCACACACTGGTGATGGCAAGCTACATTGTAACTTGCCATCTGGGCACCTTTCGTCTTTACTTTGAAGATGAAAAGTTGCACTCTGGACGCAGCTACTTGTCTTTCTTGAGTTCTGCCTCGCCTCAGCTCCTCTCTTCTTTGCACCAGATGGGTACAGGAACTCTTTTTGATTGAACATTTTTAACAGCCACCCAGAATAGAAACAGTGGCTGGATGTGATTAATCGCTACAGGAGCCTCATTCACAGTGGCCCCTTTCCTTTGCTAAACCCTAACTCTGCTGTCAGTCACACAAACACTCTAAACCACATCCACACAAACATGTCCACAACAATCAAAGTCTAAAGACAAAATAACACCTCAGAAACCCTGAAACAATAATCACAAAACGTATAAATGAGTGATGTAAACTAAAACATGTACATTTCTAAGAGTCTGTGCCCATGATGCTGTAAAATGTCCAGCATTTTGCTTTAAATATTCTGAAATTTGGCTAAATCTTGAGTTATTCAGTTAAATATGATCATACAACTTTTGCATCTATTCATTTGGCTCCTGGACCTTTGAATAAGACAGTAATATCAGAACTGCTTAACTAATAACATCCATGCAGACGTCATCCTCAGATAACCTTATGTGCTTGTGCAGAAGCACTAAAAACAAAAAAAGGAGAGAAATCGGGAGCGAGTCCAAAAACCAGATGTGTTTTTCACATTCCTGACTTCTGCCATAGGTCTCTTCACAAAAGTTTGACCTCTGCTCGCTTTGTCTATAAAAAGGGTTGACAAGGCCAGCGCTAAAGCATGAAGGACGCTGGGTTGAGGAACCAGCAGCTGTCTCAACATGCAGGGTGTGCTAAACAAAAAGTACTGTATGTTTTTGCAACTCAGAGGGCCACAGGGTCAAAGAAAAGTCAACAGTGAGCAAAGTCAAAAGTGAAGAGATGAGATATAATTAAAATACATGTCATTTTTTCCCCTTTCGTTTATTTGTTTCAGGTTGAAATTAAGGATGTTTCAGTTTCAGGCATCAAAAATGTCATTTTATTCTTGTTCTTTCAAAACCTTTTAGTTCAGAGGGAAACTCAAGGGAGAGGAGAGGGTGAAGGGTTAATTTGTAGCTGGGGAAACCTGATGCTAATTAAGTCTCAGGAATGCCACATACACTGACATTATAGTGCAGAAGCCCTCAGAGTGGATCAGGCATGGAGAGAGCCGGCAGTAATGCGTGAGTCCAGTGTTTTTACTCCTTTGTGACGGTCGGGAAAAGCCAGCCTCACTAAACCCTGGAGCTGAAGGTAATGTGCACAGATGAGCTGCCAAGTCTGTAAAGTTTGTTTCAGTTGTGTGAGAGGTGGGTTTAATCGAAAAGGAGATCGGTGATGGCTTGAGTTATCACCTTTGAGATTTTTTCCTCCAGGTTTTCCATTTGGGACTCTTACCTCGCGTTTCCTTCTTTTGCAGGCAGAGTAAGCCCACATATTAGATGCGAAAATGCTTTTACTGACATCTCTGCTGTTGCTGCAACTCTCCTGGGTATCGCTGCACAACGCCGCGCAAGCTGTAGCGGAGATTTGCCGGGGGACGCACTGCTATGGCGGAGACACCGGCGATCCAAGACCGTGCACCGGGGCGCACTGTCCGGGGAGCCGATCTTCCAGACCCCCGCGGCAGTTTAACCCGTCAACGCAGGGGAAAACGGCTCATGTAGCCGCCGGCCAACACCGCGTGTACCCGAGCTCTCCAAGAGCGGCATCGGAGACTTTTCCAGGCGCCCAGCTGCTACTGCGCGGGCGGCACAGCGACGGCAGCACTCGGAGTGCGCCTGAAGTTTTACCTGCAGGATGCACCGATGCGGAGTGCGCTGTTCATGTGAGACAATTTCAACCCGGCAATGACACCAGAGACTGTAAAGGGATCGAGTGCAGACTGCCGCTGAGGATACGGCCAAAAGCTCGAGCAGTGGCTTGTGTGGGAGAAGGATGTCTGGCCGGTTCAGAGGAGAGCGTGCCTCCTGTACATCTGTCGGACAGAGCCGCGCAGTTTCTGGGGGATTTTCCGGAGTTTGGATATCCATCGTCGGAACTTGGCGCAGCGCCTTTAGGTGTCCAGCTTACATGTGATATCAAGCCAGGTCTGCTATGTTCATCAACATTATTATTTATTTATTTATTTATTTATTTATTTATCTATTTAACATTATATTATAAGTTCCTGCATGCCAGGAACAAAAACAAAATGCAGACATGCACATTGTGACTCTTGACAATTTCTTTAAAAGTGATATGCTTTTACTAAAAGGTGGGTGTATATAAATACCTCAAATGCATGCTGCCCTTTACTGACTTACAATCTCTCACACAAGAGTGTTCTGGAGACAAATGACAACTTTGTTGACCTTCAGCCTCCCCCCACAAAAAAGAAAGAAAGAAAAAAAGATACCTGCAGGGCAAAGAGTAGCTGGACTGGAAAAATGTCTCAGAGTCAATTGCCCAGAAAATTTTGAATGCTTTGATGTGGCTCCATACAGGAAACTTTTAGTAGGCTACACTTGGCTGCGGCTGGCTATGCAGCTGGAGTCACAGGCTGTTCACACTTACTGTCAGCACTGTTTGGAGAAGTCACACCTCAGTACAAGGCTTAACGACATCTAATCGATTTCTTCTCCCTGTTTTTTTCCCCCCTTCACTGTGCATTTATTTCATGACAGGGGAGAATGAAGTTCCTTCAGAAGATGCCCTCATCTTGCACCTCCAGCTGTCCAAGGGGCAGGAGAAGCTTGTGGAGGCCCTGAGAGCCCAGCAGATTATCATCCGTGATCTGCAGCAGAAGCTTGCTGACCAACAGGAGGCCCTGCTGTCACAGCAGCGTGAAATCCTGGAGCAGCAGCAGCGAATGTATGAGCAAATGGATGTGGTGAAGGCCCAGTACGGTCTCCTCTCAGACACCTTCAAACAGGTTTCCTTCCAGGGCCTGAAGGGCGAGCTGCAGAGCTACTTCGAGAGCCAGCTGGCTGGACTGCAAAGCCAAGCCCGCAGCCACCTGCAGAAATCCTACGCCGTCCACAAAGCGGACATCAACTCTAAGGTGATGGATGTGGTTGGGGAGGCTCACTTTCCTCAGCCTCTCCTGGGATGTCCTTCACCCTGTGGATCAGAGGAGTACTGTGACTTTCAAAAGGACCCAGCTCGGTGTGAAAAGTGCACCATGTGTCCACCAGGTTTCTTCCTCATCTCACAGTGCTCTCCAACTGCGGACAGAATATGCCAGGTATGCCGTCATCTGATGTGTCAAAACAAACTGAGAGCAAAACAGGAAAAAAAAGGAAACAAACAAAAAAAAAGTGTGAAGCGGTTTTAGCTGATAGTTGAGGTTTCACATGGTGGTTTCCAGTTAGTGGTTCCCAAGCATATGCCAGCATATGCCAAAATCTAAACATAGCTGATCTGGAAGTGAGAATGTTTATACCTTTGAGCTTAGATGGCTCATCTTATCTGTTTCCTGATCAAGCATAAATGCTTTAAAGAATGTGTCAGTTAAACCTACTTATTGATGTACAGGATACACTCATGGTGATACTTTTAATTTGCATGACTTGCAGGACAGAGACGAATGCCTTGAATTACCAAATATTTGTGGAGAGCGAGTGAAGTGCCTTAATACTCCAGGTGAGTTCGCAGTGCTTATTTTGCTGATAATTAATGAATCCTTATTCCTTATTTTCACTCTGATATAGAAAAATTTCCCACCAGTTTATCTAAAACGTTATTTGCACTGAGAAAACAGCCATACTTTACTGAGCTACGTGTCTATGCAGCTGTCAGAGCCTGTTTGGACCTTTTTATTTTGCAGGGGGATTCAGGTGTCTGGGCATTTCTGAGAGAGACGCAATAATGGGCTTGTGCGGTCATGAATATTTCTACAACCAGGAGCTGCAGGAGTGCCAGGCCTGCTCTGACTGTGACGGAGAGCCTGTCACTGTTCCCTGTACAGCAGTCAGTGACACCATCTGTGGCCAGCTTTCGGAGACCCGGCTCTCTGAGTCTTGGATGGCGAATGTGGCAGTTCCCCCTGCCAGATCATCTGGCACCCACATCTTTCCTGGGCTTCAGCTAAACATACGAAGCAAAGAAAAAAGCGATTTGCTGTCCAACCAGGTGGGCCAGTTGACCTTCCAGCAGCACGGGCTGGTGTGGTTGGATCATAACTTTGCAATAAAGCACAGTTGCAGGAACTTCCTCCAGTTGGGGATGAGGCTAAATGGGAGCCAGGAAGAGGAGGGTAAGGACCTCAGCGGTGTTCGCATCGAACAACCGGATGGGAAGTATTTCCAGGGGGTCAGCGTCAGTACCGGGGTGGAGGTGGAGCCTAACCACAGCTTCACACTGCTGTTGAGGAGTCCAAATCAACATTGCAATCAGAGCAAAGATCTTCACGTGTATGATGCTGCAGGGCCCTCTTTGAGTCTGCTCTGGTTGTCTCATGATACTGGTGCTGTAGCTATGACAGCTCAGATGTCCCTGCTGATGCACTACCAGACCAGCTACCGCCCAACTTTCCGCATAACCTCAGTTTCAGACCCCTACATGATCAGCCTGACTCATGACAACCGTGGGGTACGCTTCACCGAGCGCGGAGTGGTCAAGTTTGTCCTTCAGCAAGCACTTTACTCCATGGGGCACACCTGCGTTCGAGAGGGTTTCTCCTTGATTGCCTATATAAACCGCAACGGAACCGGCCAAGAGGTGATGCAGGCTTTTAAGACTGGCGTTAATTACAGGGACACTTCCATTACACTCTCAGGTGCTGTGAGCGTGGACAGTGGAGACATGCTCAACTTTGAGATCACATCCCCGTCTCAGTGCAACGTCCGCTATTTTGGGGACAGCACTGGAATCAGTATTTTGAGTCTTATCTGGATTCCTTCAGCAGTGTCGTCAGCCTTTACGGCTACTGTGTCCAGGACCGGTCTTCCCTTTGGAGCGGTGAGGAATAAACCTCTATTGTTCCAGCAGATCAGCCCAGATACACCACAGGTCCACTTGGCCCGCTCTGGGGAGCCAAACAGCCGGAAGAACTTTATATTCCGTGAGAAAGGAACAGTGAACATAGCTCTCAACCTCAAGCTGATCCACTCTTGTAATATAGTAAAACTCACTCTGCAGCGGGTAGGGGGTCAGGGCAAGCAGGCTGGTCCTGTGGCTCAGCAGGTGTCAGGATCTATGCCTGAAGGAAGCGAGTGGGCCAGTGTAGGGCTGAGAGCCTCATTTCAAGTCCAGAATGGCACGGCTCTGTACGTCACGCTGGACTGCATCCGTGGACGAATTAACCAGATAGCACACGAGGGCGGCACTAACATTTCAATTCTCTGGGTGGCAGTGTGATCCAAGAAGGGGCTGAGCTTTTCTCATCATCATTTTGTGGAAAAAGACAGTTTTGCACATGTTGAAGGACAAATACGGGCTAATAAAATGTAGTCTTCTTTTCCACATATCCTGTCACATTATCTTTAATGTATATTTCTGCACCTGTATAGACGTTTATGATTATTTGTTTTGTAGGGTGTAACACTTAGATGCTAAAAGTACTGCTTTTTGCTTGAAGTACTTCGGCTGGTTGAGCAGTGACCAATTCTACATCAAATGTCTGAATGTGTGAGTGTGTGTTTGTCTGTATGTGTAAATGGTGTGGATACTTGGAAATGGTGCTTATGTATGTCTGTGCATATGTACACACATATTGGCATGTCTACTTTTGCGTATGAATCATTTAATATGTATATATTAATACTTAACATCCATATTGTATTAAACCTTTTTGTATTGAATTATGAGGTTGTTAAAGCAGTATTTTAACATTTGGGGAAATGCAGTGAACCATTTTCTGGAGGGCAGTTTCATGAGTGGACCAGTGCAAACCTAGTAGTTAGTTAGCTTAGCACAAAAACCTCAAACAGGGGAAACAGCTGACCTGGTATTAGCCAACAGTATGGAAATGTATTAGCATCTCTAATACACAGCAGCATTTAACCAAAGGAACATCCCCTGCTTCATCCATCTGTGTCTACAGCAACCTGCAGGACCACCTCCAAGGGGACACCCCCTGCAGCAGTTAAATATCTGTGACTCTCCATCAGTTTTTAGAATCGACAAAGCCACTTAAATGAAAGTTAAAATGTCTTCTTTCATCAGAAAGAAGTCCTGTTGCCTTTATTTCAAGCGCTTTAGTCATTCTAACCGTGTGAACCTTTGCATCCTCAGAGACACAGAAACTGCAACACCTTTAACCTATCAAATGTGTTAAGTCACAGCATTGCATTGTGGGGCACCCACACTTTGGCAGTTCTGTGGGCTAGCACAGAAAACCTGGAAGCATATAAATACGCTTCAGTTCCAAATAAAATGCAGGTTGTGGAGGTGTTATTTGCTTTGATTGGTAACTTCTTGGCTTGTGGAACTCACTAGTCAAAATCACTTGGCAAATGCTCAGAGTTAGGAAATAACCCCTCATAAAGCAGCTAAATTACACATTAGTTTTTGCTGAGTTGCTCCGTTAAGATGGATGTAGTCGTCTTGATGTCATCAACTGAACTTTTTAACTCTTGTTTAATAGGCTTTTTTGTAGGGTCTTGGCACCATTGTGTTGGAGAAGTCCGGTTCAGTCACTTCTAGCTAGCAGAGATAAACAGCTAATAGCTCCAGCTGCCTGTGTTGGCATTCACATGTAGCAATTCAGTCAGCATTGCACAGACATCATGAAGAGGCACCAACTTAGGATGTTATTAGTCTGTTTAAAGGACATCTAAGAAAACCAGTTTTTGCATGAGGCTGTGAACATCTCTACTGTGAACAAGTGTTTTAAGTGGGGAGTTGAAGCTAGCCTCGAGGCTAACTTGAGGATCTGGAGTTTCTGGCACTTCTACAGTAGCTTAATTTTCTCAGCCCTTGACGGCTCTGCTTTTTTGTTGTAATGATTAAACAAACACAATTTAACTTGTAAATTGTTGAGCTTTGACAATACTGGCAGGCTGTTTTTTTTAACTACTGCACAAAACCAAGCCAGCTGTTTCCCTCTGTTTCAGTCTCTGTGTGTAGCTAAACTAAGCTAATTTCATAGATAACACACCGATATGAGAATGCTATCATTGTTCTCATCTAACTTCCTTTCAAAATATGGTAATTTGCTGAAATATATAAAAAATAGTCTCGCCAAATCTATTGTAGTACCATTTAAAAGAGCAGGGATTTAAAAAAAAATGTTGTTTTTGGTATTTATTTTACGAAACAGGACCTTTGTATTTTGCTGTGGAATGCATATGAATTGTTAGGTATGATAAAACAGTAAAAATATGTATAGTATGGAGTAAAGCACTGAGTAGACATGTAGTGATAGTGTCTACTTGTACACATGTAGTTTTGCGTAGTATTATGGAATATGCAAACATCTTCCTTTGTTATTCTTTTGCCTAAACGCTGTTCCTCTGTAAAGAGCTGCCCATGCATATCCCTCCTAATTGCCTCTGTGTGTGTTCTGTCCTCTGAACAATTAGGCATAATTAAGTGTTTCAGAGAGCTGGCAGCAAAGGCGCCGCTGAAATTCTTCACCTTTTTTCTCACTTCTTTGCACGCGGTGATATTTTTGAGGTGCTTTTAGACTCCCTGCAAGTTTCTTGTGGAACATCAGTGTATTTACAGTATTCTGGTTCAACACCAAATAAAATATACATATATTTTGCCATAAAAGGAATTTCTTTTTTCTTTTGAAAAAAAAAATGTTACTTTGCTGGTTTTATTCCAAAAATATTGACTTGTGGATGAAAAACAGTTTTGCTGCTAATCCTCACCAGACGAGAAAGGTATTTTACAGAGTTATTGGATCATTGTAGTATACTGTATGTGAATGCGTAATGTGCCTCTAATGGATTCCTGTGTAGCCACATCATTGGACCTCTAATGTGACCTTTATTCTATCAACCCGAGAGTGATTTTATATTTTGGAACCACGTATCATGACAATCAACATTTCACAGTGAACAGCTATTAATTTCCATCAAATTGGCGGGTAAAAGTTTGACCTTCTGACAGTGTTCACTCAGCTCAACCTGAAACTATTTTTAAAACAGCCTTATTCGGCAGCAAAGGTGCCAAAACACCTGGAAAATCATACACTGTATTTTCCTCACAACTGGTCTTAATCAGCTTCATATTATTCTTCCATCTATTACTACCTATGGAAGGCCAGTTCTTTGACTTAAATTTAACAAATAGCCTATGAGTCAAAGAAGGGAGAGAGCAAGAAACAGGGGTGAGGGGGAGGGGGAGTCTGCATGCGAGAAACAATCAAATGTTTCTGTCGGCTGCCTGAATTGGAAACAGGTGTCTGGGCGCACCACTGCTCCAGATGTTTGACGCTGTAGATCAAATGAGACTCTTAGCACATGAAGAGTTTCAGAGACATCAGAGAGAGAAACAGGGACAGAGAAACAGAACAGGAAAGGGAAAACACAAAGGAGAGAGAGCTATGTGTGGATATTAAAAAACGCAAACTTTAAAGTTCTTCCACTTCTATATTAGCAATGAATTTTAAAAAAAAGTACAAAGTGATGAAACTCTTGTTCCCTATATTGCTTCTTTTTGTTCCTCATAGATTTGTGTTTTTGTGGTTTTGTTTTCACTGTAGCGCTAACAAATTCCCCTTCAATCAACTTCCAGGAGTCGACTGATAAAAAGCTCTAAAAAACCCACTTTATGGTACCTTTCTGGACCAAATGGAAGCCAGAGAAATGTAGCGATTAGCTGGGGAAGCTGCTAAATCAAATAAAGAGGCAGATTTTCCCCCCTGAATGGATAGGAGCTAAAAAACTAAGACTATAGGCTTACATTCATCAAGAGTCCAGATTGTGGGAGATGGCACGGTGATTGTTGTGAGACTTAATGCCCAAAGGTGATCCATCACAGTAGCACTTAAATATGAAGTTTAGCCAACAGTTTAGGAACTACCTGCACCACAGTCTATGCGTAGCAGGCATTTTTTCCTTTATTAGAGGAATTATGTGACTTGGGTGTCAATTCTGTGAACATTAATACAATATTACCATATTGCTTGCTAACCCTCAGTAAGGCTGAATCTAAAAAACAAAATAATATATCAGCTGTAATTAAGACAGATCAAGACACACAAAAAAGATGAGGTCAATATCAAATCGTGTTTTTTTTTTCTTTTTTGTGTAATTGGTGGCAGTAGAACAAGGTTAATAATGAATAAAGTAATCACATTGTAAGTACTCGGGGCTAAACTGTCTGCCTGCGTAGGTCTGTGACTATGCAGAGTGAATGATTTTGGGTATGGCTCATCTCCAGCCAACCAAGCCTTCTGCTCAACCATCTCTGACTTGCACAAAAATTTTACGGTAGACAATTTGAACATTTATAATGAGTGCTGTGAAATTTACTGAAATTTATCGATTATTACCGATAAAAGCCTAGAATTTTCACTGGTATTTTTTACCATCAAAATGAACCAGGATCTATAATTTGGGAGAAATGCATCAAACATTGTCAAGTATTGGCTTGTTAAAATATGGAAAAAACACCCAGCGCTCCTGCTAAGTTCCATATTTGAACACACATTGCAAAAACTTCATGTTGCAAAAAGACAGCTGATCACAGTTTTTTAATAGCATCTAGTTACATTTTACAACAAAAAACCCAAAATAATCTTAACATAAAATTGTGGCAAAATAAAGAAAATTAAATTCACGTTCAATTTGAAGTATTTTTTCTAGTGTGTGCTTAAATATGGGGCTTTGCGGGAGTGATGTACTAGACAAAATGAAGGCACTTTTAATTGTTTTTGCATTTGACGGGCTGTTCCACACATTTTTTTGTCACTGCCCCTGGTTACAGCAAACTGCTGTAACATGTAGATGAAGATCTGCAAAGCTGTGTGCAGGCTCTGCATATGACCAACAAACAATATGATATTTATACATAACAACCAAATGCTAGTCTTAATGAGCAAGTATTAGCAATTGAGGGTCTTATTTAGCATTTACAGGGATCGGGACTGAGTAAACACCAAAGATCAGTATATAAAAATACCAGAGAGAAACAAGCAAGATTCTTTGAAGAAGAGCAGGATTGGAATATGATGTTGCATCTGGAAAAATCGAAGGGAGAAGAAGCAGAGGCAGAAGAAAACAAACCATTATTGACCGAATGAAAGACTAAATGAAAAAAAAAACACCAAACTGTTTAGAGAATCTTGGAGTAACACAATTGCCATTTGGCACAGCACTTAAGAAGAAGAAGAAGCGGGTAGAAAAACAGTAAAACCACTGACAGGTAAATAACTCTGATAAAGTGTTACAAAGTACTGTTCTGCTCGGAAACCTTCGGTCCTGGCATTCATGTGGATGTTTGCTCATGATTTGGGTTGCCATCCAACCAAACATTGGTGCAGAACAAGCACACCAACCAAGGCAATGGCATTTTGACAGCAGTGGTCTCCCCAAGCAGGAAAAGTACGCCCCTCCACACCACAAAAACTGTTTAGGAATGACAGGAGACACACTTCAAAGAGCCCCAACTTCTCAAGTTCCAATTTAAAACCCCCAGAGTTCTCCCATTCATGCCCCAACTGTTTTGTCAGAACTGTTTTAGCAGCACAAGAAGGACCTATTTGCTATTAGGCAGGCAGTTTAGCTGGTTTTGATCTTGCAGCTGACTTGTGTTCGGAGATGTGACGTAATTCTAGGCAAAGCAATTGTTCATCTGTTAAACGCTCCACTACGTTCAGAACTTTTCACTCCTGGAAACTCTGATGCAGATGCAATAAATATGAACAAAAATTGTAACATTACAGCCTGAACAATCAGTTGAGAAGCAGGATGGTATAAAGCTGCAGGAAACTGAAAAGGAAGTCTGGTTAATCTACCAAAAGAATAAAAAAATGGTAAAATTCATAAATGTTGTCATTCCAACAACATAAAAGGTGCTATGCCTTTTAATGGGCTGCAGACTTGCATGCCAGTATTTTTGTGGCTAAACAGAGAGACATCATTTATCACCACAATGCATCTGTTGTGAGTTTATTTGCTTTCCAAGGGTTTTTGTGTTTGTGGTTCGCTCAGTCGATGACATGCGAGCTACTTTGACAAAAATCACTGATTATTCCAAAAGCAGCAGTGTTGCAGCAACCAAACCATCCGGCAAAGTCTAATATTACCCCTTCTCGTGTTTAGAAAGTGTTTAGCTTAATATTCTAAATGTGAATCAGCATCATTTGTTTATGTTTGGAGCAAAAATACAACATGGTGTCAGTTCAATAGACACATCAGTCACAGTGATTTGTAGTCGAGGTGAACACCCTCCTAACCGAAACCTGGCCCCAGTCTGCTCCGATGTTGACTTAAAAAGGACAAAGCCGGAGACAGGCTTGCTTTAATCAGAAGCGGATGTCACTGTATGAGCCAAGGTCTCTCGTCTACGGGGAAATGTTTAGACCATGTGGTCACGTTAGACACTGTAAACCTCCACAAAGTGCGTTACACTAGTGCACTATGGTGAATTTATGGGGTGTGAAGAAAATTTGTATTGGTGTTGTTGATGTTTTACATCCAGATTTTTCATTTCTTTTGAGAATTAATCAAAGCAAATAGTCAAAATGGGGAAATTAAAGCCGCCGCAAAGCCTGAAATGTCTTCATTGTAAAGTTTTTACCAGACACTTGAGTTATAGCCATTAAAATCATTTTCTTATTATACAGCACACCGGCCAGATGACTGTAGCTCACCTTGCATTTTCCTATAGATCTTTCCATGATGTAAATCTTTAAGTTTTTCTGTTTTTTAAACTTTGTGCACTGACTAGTTGGATGGCTCTCAGTGGATACAATCCTTTAGACAGGAAACTGAGAGCCATCGTATAGGGCTACATCTTTCAGCTACGGTGACATCCCAGATAATATCCCCTCTGAGAGGTTTTTAAATTGCTATTTGGGGTTGTGAAGCATATGTTTTAATGTACACATTGGCTCCTTTTACTTCAAAATTGTATGGGACAACTTATTTTAATAAATGGAAAAAGTCATAGTGACTTGTTGGTGAGAGACGCTTAGCCAGTGAGCATAATAAGAAAAAAGAATCAAGAAGAAAGAATTTTATGGTCAGGAATGATAAAACTGAAAGACAAGACATATGCATTATGGCACCACTGCTTTGAGAGGCAGGTAGATGCTGACTAGTTTGGTAGATGTCTGCCAGGTATCAAACCAGCTAAGTTGGATGGTCTAAAATCAATGAAGTTTCAATCAAATTATGACTTTAACTCTGCTTATGCTGTTCTGTGACATAGTTTAGTCTAAGATAAAGCCCACTGTGTAACTGCCATGCACTCAAGGACAGATCTGCTGCATCTATATCTTGGACTGGTTGTCTCTCAGTCTTCATTTCATCACGAATTCTCCATCATCCTCCTCTTTTATGCATCCAGTCATCTGTTGCAGTTTCCTCCCCTCCTTCGTCCATCTGTGCTGGTGTTTCTCACCTCATTAGAGAGGTTACTGATGCATGAGGGAATGAGCTGGCAGGTCAGTAGCCACAGTGAGATTCATATTGAACAGCTTGTGAAAAGTTTGCAGTCTCACAAAAAAGGAAAAAGTTCACCACCGAGCTCCTTTAAATTGAATTTTTTCTTTAAATGTCACTGGATAGATTTTGTTCTATCAAGAA